AGGTATAGGTATAGGTATAGGTATAGGTATAGGTATAGGTATAGGTATAGGTGTAGGTATAGGTATAGGTATAGGTATAGGTAGTTCTATGGTATGTAAACAAGCAATGAAAAGAATTATCAGAGTCAAATGATTGACACAAAGCTATCAATACTGCTAATAATAGCTCTCAGTCATATGTATAAAATTTGAATCTACGTCAATATTGGTGATGTAATCAGATCCTTCGGGTTTTCCCAACCCCTCCCTAGTTAGTACATATTCGCACCCAACATCCTTAATGTTCTTAGTGCATCGTATATATTCATCGATGCTTTCAGTAAGGTAGCTAAGAGGAGTAGAGCCGTGTTTTAAAATATGGTAGTGAAAATCTTTAAGATTGAAGGACTTGCCTAACTCCTTCTGCGCATGCTCACGTAGTTTTATGATATGCTGTTGACCAACCATGTACGCGGTTGCTTGTCCGGGGACGCTTTGATAACGCATCACTTCCTGTTGCATGACGTCACTTGTTTCCCACATGTACTCTTGAAAGTACTGAAGAGCTTTTTGGTGGGAAAAACCTTTATAATGCAATCCGGTGTCCACTACTAGGCGAATTGCGCGCCACAGCTGAAACAATAAAAAATAAAAATTATCATTTGTATAGGAAATCGCACGATCTCGAGTACAATTTGGAAATTAATAGACACGAGTAATGTTTTGAAAGTTCTTGTAACTGCAYGAGCCTTTAGGCGAGTGCAATTAAAGAGCTTTCAAAACATTACGAGTGTCAATTAATTACAAATTGTACGAGAAAATCGTGCGATTTTTTGTTTATAGTTCACTCAACAAAATGTCAGTAAAAAATGCGAAGCGACGCCGTTCATCTTTGTCTATTTGGCGGCCGATTTTCAGTCCATCGCGCAACTGAAATGCATAAAAAAGATTAGTTCTTACGGCTTTAAAATTTCATTTATATATTTTTTTAAGTACAAAATGATAGAACATAATTGTTTTGACATTGTTTTGGCCGTGTTGCCATAGCGACTTAATTCGGTACTCCTACGGAGTACAATTAACGCTATAATTGTACTCCTCTCGACCAATCAGAGTCGAGTAATTTTGTTGAGTGTACTATAAATGAATGAATCTTACTTTCTTATTGGTTAGGGCGCGTGCTTTATGAGAGTACAGAGTACGCGCGCGGGTACTTTTCGTTACTTTTTAAAAATATGAAAAAGTTATGTGAAACAAGCCCACTACCGATACATGCTGCGCTTGTCGTGCACAAAGATTTCAATATGAGGCTTATTCGTGATGAATTAATTTTTTTCTTTTCTCCTATCACGAATTAAGAAGCTTTTGCTGGATTACTAATGTCATATCAAAAACCTTTTGTAAGATGCTCTTTCGATTGCAACTTACGAAGTAATTTCAAGTTTGTTTGCCATACTTTCAAGAGAGCCTTCCCCAAGGAACCTTTGGCTGAATATAGCCTACTTCCGAGATATTCCTTGCTTGTCACACACAAGGGATTCAATGTGACGGGCTTCGTGCATAATGCTCAGTGATTCGTGACAGGGTAAAAAGTATTAATTTAATAGCGCAGCGCACTGATTCTAAAAATAGCTTAAAGATTCGGACAAACATTACATTCTCTTTAACCGCTACAAGGATTATACAAACCGATTTTTTTTTTCTTTTTTTTTTTTACTTAAAGTTACAATAATAACCCATGTAAACTAAGATCAACTGCGATCGGCTGTGAAAATTATCTAGTGAAAGTAAACTTGTAAGTTTGATTGTCCGAATTTCGCCTTTGTCTTCGTTTTTATGACGTCACGGTTGCGCTGCACTATTCAGCACGTAGCCTCAAACTGAAACCCTTGTGTGTGACAAGCGACGCACAGTGGACGATCGATTCGATATCAAAGTGATATATCAGCACGTGATTTTTTGTTTCAGTAGACCTCCTCGGCTCTGGAGCGCTCGAGCGTAATGTTGATCCCATTTCAGACCACATGTCATTCCCTTGAGAATAATATTCTTTGTTTGAGTTATAACCATATTCATGTGTCTTCTCATGTCAAACCGAGCGCAAACCTTAAACAAAGAAATGATACTCTAGGAAATGACACGTGGTTTGAAATGAGAAAACATTACGTCAGAGCCGAGGAAGTCTATTGGCCTATTACTGACCATCTTGCTTCTCCTTCTACAGGTTAACTACAGACACACCGATACTAACCTGACCTCTAAGCATTCCATATTTGTACATTGGTTTATTGGCGTACATTTCCATGTCCACAGGAATCAATGGGTATTCTGCATACACAGCCCAACCCTCGTTAAACGCTGTGTACCTCGTCATGGTATCCAACCATCCAATCACCCCTCCACAAAGATCACGAAAATGTTCCAAAAGCCCCTGAGTCTAAAAATGTAGTTGTTAATCGTTAATCGTAATAGATAGTGCAGTTTTCGTATGACTGTGAAAAGCTCAGTGTCGTGAGCGTGACGTGCCGTGAACGTGATACTTTCAAGAATTTCAATTGGCTGATTTTTTTTCACGCGCAATATGATTGGTCTAAAAGTGCCGCGATCTTGGCGTGACCGTGTCCGCGCGGATGGAGAGTAAATTCTCGTGCAATGTGATTGGTCTCGCGTGTCCCTTGCTGTGTCACGACCGTGTTCTTGCCGTGAACTTTTCACGGTCATACGAAAACTGCACTAACCTAGTTATGGAGATACAGTTTGAAATAGGAAATACAACCGTGCGTCAGTCAATAAACCAATTACACACCACACACACAAATAAAAAAGGTTCTGGGATCGGACTCAGTTCGTTAGTAATCGTACCTGAGTATGGTGTCCAGGTCTGGCTTCATGTCCAATCATAGTCCACTTGCCGTACTTTGGTCCTAGTCGTCTTACGTGAAATGGTATTGAAACACGAGATGAACTGTGGCAATCCGGATAAATTCCATGATATTGTTCAATAAGAAATTGAGGACTGTATTGTATGATGACATCGACTGGACAGTTGGGTGTTGTATGTTTTGAGCCTGTGAAATAAAACATTTCCACAGTCTTGGAATCCATAAGACTCATTACCTAAAAAAACGTTAAGACATGGTCGTTATAACAAAAGAAAAACCTAATGTTATCCACACCCTTAAACACTCCGTGGGCTGATCTAAAACAGGACATCAGGCTAACTGAAAAAACAAACTCACAGATCAAACCCTGATACCGCAACCTTTGGGCTGATCTAAGTCAGGGCACAGCTAACTCACATGCCAAATTCTTTCCTCTAACCTAGACGACCTCGCCAGCACAGATTTTCAGCGTAAATTAAAGAGGCAATAGATATCTTCTGGGAGAACCCTTCACTTAATCAGCAGCTCTCCCATGTAAAGTTAAAGCTTGCTTTGTAACATTTTTGTCATCTTTTGTAATTTTAATTTTAATGCCAATCTTTTGTTCATTTATTTAACCGTTCACTCATTGTAAACTTCATTACTGACGATGGCTGTAGGACAGCCAAAACATGTCTAGATTAAAGATTGGTTTCTATTGATCAACATTCTGAAGTAATACCTACTTTATAAAGATCCTTTACCAATCTCTGCATCGCTTTATATCGAACAGGACAATACGTCTTTGCACTTGAACTGCTTGTACATCGTTCATGTGCTGTTGCATTTGATTCTATCTCAGGGATCAGATCCGCGCCGTAGAACATCGATGAATCGTTTAACTTGCGTGCAAACATTTCTTTTGCTTGCGTGGTATTGGATGTGTGGGTTTCGTTGCGAGCTAACTCGAGTACCTGTGAATACAGCAGATTATGATATAGCTTAGATAGTACAGTGACAAAATTGCTTCACGCAGTATACAACTGGCTGGCCATTGTTATCGCCATCCAGAGTTGAGTGCTAAGAAACTAGTGCTATGGGAGCCCACTCATGGACATCGGGGTCGAGGTAGACCAAAGACAGCCTACATCGACACGCTGAAGAGGGACACTGGAACACCCGACGCCAGCAAATTAGCTTCACTGATGGATGACAAGAGGATTTGGAGAGGACTAGTGGTTGCCCGCCTTCGGGTGACCAAGTGAGTGAGTGAGTTAGATAGTACGCACGCTTGATTGACAGCTCACAACTTTACTCATTTTAACTCAAAAGTCTGGGTAGAATAGTCTGGGCACACGATGCAAGGATGTAAGTTATAAAATAGGGGCTTTAAGGCGATTTGCAAATTCAACTGCTAAAGCTCTGAAACTGCAACGCGCAAAAAAAGTATACTCATATATGATACGAAGTATAGCCTTAGCGATAGGCGAGCACTCTTGCCGCTTTGTTAGCTGCGTGCTCCCAATAAATGTTGCGCTTCTTCATTCGGGATGCCGTGGGTGCATATACCTTTGCGCTACTTCATTTGGGATGCCGTGGGTGCATATACCTGTGCATATAACTTGTTTATCATTTTCAATCCCAGGTCATGTACTTCATTGGGTGTGATGTCACTTGTAGTAAAATACGGCATGATACTTTCATAGGCCTTGGAGCCGTTAAGTCGTTGGCCAGTTGGTAAGTACGGGTAAGTTAATTGGTTGGTTTTCGAACCATTAATGTACACATGAGTCAAAGGCAGACCTGATAATCCACTGGATTCATTCACAGGCAAGCAGTGCTCGAGGTAGGTGGTTTTAAGATATCTAAAAACAAAAGGGTTTACGGTGTGACTACGCGTCCATTGTGAGCAAATAAGAGTTGTTCTTTTGGCAGAAAGTATTAGAAGGCTATTTGGATCAACAGTTTCGATACACGGACCAAGCGAAAGTAAGCAATTTTCAGCCATATTTCTGCAACGAAAATCGTCCCTGGAGCTCAAATCGATTTTTCCTTTTTTCTCAAAAACCAAAAAGTATTTTTCAAAACTAACCACACAGCGTTTCGTACTTCATCATACACTACTTAAATCCAAAAGTAGAGCGAATTCGAAAATTTGAGCCTTGCCGCCGTATGTTTGATTTTTACAGACCGTCGCTCTTAAAATTACATAATTATGGATGGTAAATATTGCTCTCTCACCAATTTGCATCCTAGTTTAGGTGGAGCTGAGTTAGCTACTCAGCTAAACCTTGTATTCTTGAAAACTAGTTGCGTTTTTCTGGATCAGTACTCCCATTTGGAGTTCGCCTTTGCTCAGTCTTAGCCTCGATTGTGTACAAATGTATTTTTCTTTTATTAAGGTTCATTGTATTGTAAGGAATATACGTACGATGGTACAATACGTGTTGATTAAAATGCCACGGGTTTTGGTTGAATAGGTGAATATTATAATACACAACCGAGACTAAGGCTGAGCAAAGAGAACTCGAAACTGGAGTATTAATCGACATGTGAGTTAGCCATGCCCTGACTTAGACCAGAGGTTGTTTCAAGGTTTAATAGACCTCCTCGGCTCGGCGTAATGTTGTCCCATTTCAGACCACGTGTCATTCTCTTAAGAATAATATTCTTTGTTTGAGTTGTATCCATACTCATGTGTCTTCTCATGTGCAACCGAGCGCAAACCTTAAACAAAGAAATGATACTCTAGGAAATGAAACGTGGTYTGAAATGRGAAAACATTACGTCAGAGCCGAGGAGGTCTATTAGCATAAAATATACTCACTCACGTGATCAGTTTGTATAAAGGTTCGCCAATGTATTTTAACACGTGATCTCGGATGTCTTGTTTAACGGTCTTATTGTACTTAGTAAACCATTTTTCCTTTTCCTCTTTACTTAGTTTGTCCAAAGTCGAATCCCTAGTCAATCCTTTGGCAATTCTTTGTCTCATCACATCTAAAAAAAAACGATTGCATAGTTAGATAAAGTTGCGGCTCGTGCTTATGGAGTTTCTGTGGTTTTGGCGGGATTTTTACCGCCAAAACGGGCAACGTGGACGCGCTTAATCCTTTGCAAAGGAAACCTAGTCATGGAAAGTAAGTCTATCACGCGCCACTAAGAACATGCGTCATGGTGTCATGAATTATATGCAAAAAAAAATACTCTTACCTTTTTCTGTATTTTTTTTTTTTTTTTTTTTTTTTTTTTTTTTAGTGTTACTAAGTTAAAGGGGAATCAACGGGGTAAACATGCTTCCAAAATAAAATAAAGCTTCAAAATTCACCGATAAATAAAAGGGATTAATGGCTGAAGGAAATGACGACAAGGGAAAATAAAAATAGGTCAGTGATTTAGCTTCCCAAGTGGTAGCAAGAGGTCTTACTCTTAAGTAAAAGCTAAAAGTTTTACAAGAAAATGTGGTTTGCGAGGAACATTGGAGGGCCAACAGATCGTTTTTAGTGCCTTATGTTTGCGAACTGAGAGTTAAGAGAGGATGTCAGCAAAAATCGAACATACGCCGGCAACAGTCGAAAAATCGAATTTGCTCATATTTTAGTATTAGGAAGACCTTGATGCGATATAAACCGTGGTATACTTCATTTGCCAAAATATCGCTTTATTTCCGAGAAAAACGAGGAAAACCAATTTGTGCATAATTGACCCTCTGTAAAACAAAATACCCAAAACAATCACTTTACTCACGATTAGAACATTGTTTTAACTTCTTAAATTCTAAATATCGACGTTTTATTCTACATAGCACATGGTTTAAATATTTTTTGAAAGTTCTTTATATTTCATGACGTGCCAAAGTAACTTGGTAATAAAAAAAATTTCGCCAACATAAATTTATTGGAAAATAATAAAATTTCACAGATTTAAAGCCAATACAATGGTAAAAATAGTTTTTCAACAATCAAGTCCATACACATTTTTGCAAAGGCACGCGAGGCACTCGAAGTTGGATGATATTTTGGCTCTTTCAGAGGGTCAATTATGCACAAATTGGTTTTCCTCGTTTTTCTCGGAAATAAAGCCACATTTCAAAAAACGAAGTATACCACGATTTGTTTTGGCTATATGTCTACCTTAAATATGCCTTAAAATTGAGAGAAAAGTAGGGATGCTACACTGTGCAATGTCGTTGCCAGTTGCTGCATGCAATCCGTTGCGAAAAGTAGAACTGAGTTTTATCGTGCAACGCTACGCACAACAACAATAACAACAAATAAATAAAATTGCGAGACAACCCTCTTATGCTGTAAAATACAACTTGTCAATTTGCTGGGAATATATATTGCACAGTGTAACAGGACCTAGCTTTAGAAGACCGCTATATTTACCTTCTACTTTATTCATGTTCCTGTAGAAAACAAAAAAGGAGTGAAGGCCTCTTTTGCAGTCATCGATGTCTCTCACCATCCCGGCTCTCACTCCATCTATTAAGTTTTGTCTGTACTGGCTAAAAGTGTGGTTTAAGGTTTTGATCTTATTCAATAATATTTGAACCTCGTTTACTGAAGAAGGTGGTACGATCCAATGACTAAATAGTCGAGTAAAAGTACAGATAGACTGCATTTCTACACAAAAAAAGCCTGGTCCAAGAAGATAGTACCCAGTGTAGTAATTACCATCATAAGGCATACCAAAAACGTGTTGTAAATAATGCATGACTTGAGATAAAGCCTTTCGCTCGCGAGGTTTCAACAGTTGTTTCGTAATCTTTTTGCCTTTTATTTCTGCCAGCAACTCGAAGGATTTGTCAGTTGTTAGTTTTATTTTGGCAGGCGAAGGATCGTACCCTTGAAACTTTTCCAGAATTTCCTTCTTCAAAACGTTCGGCTTTAAGTAAATTTTCTCCGGATGAAGATCGTAAAATGTGTCTTGTACTTTCTGTAAGAATTCAGGCAGTCCAACGCGTAGTGCTTCCTGGGAATAGTTGCAAGTAACTGGAAGTATCGAAGAGGCTTTTGGACTATAGTGATCCTTGTGACACGAAGCGACAGACTTCTCGTGAAGGAGAATAATTCCTGATATAATGCATGCTATTCCTGCGACAACTAGGGCAACACACACAATTATTCTTATACTATTTTTGGTCATTTCTCGACTGTTCTCTCTCGACTGCCTTCAACCTTTCAATCGAAATAGGATTCAATATTAATCGAAAGACAATCAGATTCCGCCAGAACAATTTTATATGCCTTTTCAAGTAGCACTCATCTGCAATCAATACATCAAATCTCGTCAAAATCCTTCTTAGCTCCTTAGATCGATTAACCAATTCGATTGTAAATTCTCTATACTACCACCGGATACTATACTTGACATTGAAGGTCACACCGCTTCCTTGCATACGCGCAAATATCGCTTGGATACAAAGGACCAAAGATTTAAGGACTAGGGAAATGGCGGGGTATCTGTTGTAACTTTACTTTAAAACTTTTTGATTCATCCTCCAATTTCGTTCCCAAAGCCGTCATTTCTTCTGCGCATGCAAGGCGAGCATGCGCAATAAGAAATCTTCGTTCTTTCGAACAAAATTCTGGGTAAAGCTGATGGTACTACTTTGTAGTGCATAGGACCATGGAAACAAATTGATTGAAAGTTTTACAGAAATCTGACGTTACATCTATTTTTCTTCAATCCGAAAACCACAAATTTATGAGCCATCATATTATTTCCACTACGTTTGATTCTTAGCGAGACGTTTCAATGTCTACTACGCACTGAAACGGGCATCTGTGTAAGAGGCTAATTGCAAGCACGATTTTACTGAAACCGAAAAATGAAGGTGCTTTTTATTGTGGCTCTCTTAAGAAGCTTTTTATAGCCTTATTTCAGTAAAAGGCTGGGAATTTCTTATTTTGGCCAAAAGAATATTCCTTCAATAGATTCAGACAAATGCGTGACCCGTTTCACGTTTATTGACTAAGTAAAACTGGTTCTAGAAAAACCTGTTGTAAACCGGTTTTTCACTTTACCTTCAAAACAACACGAACTATAACGTGACTTAATCTAGTTATTTTTTAGCAGCTTTTCGTCAATATAAAGTGACATTATTCGAACATTCGGAGAAAATATCTTTTCCTGAAGGAATTTACATTCGATCAAGAAGAGAGAGAGAGCAAAACCGAAGGACATTCAGTAAAACCCAGCTGAATTTTAGGTACAGTACGTCAGACATACAACATTTCCTACACAATTATTTTTTAACTTCTAGCTTCTGGGATAGAAGTGGAATAATCGACAATCATGAATCATGAATTACGTCTTCGAAATGTAAATAATCATGACTCTTACAATATACTTCGCCGTTTGGAAATTTACTGAGAATCATGAATTTTTGTTACGATAATCTGGAATCATCAATCACGCATAAAAATGCATTAAGGCATCATGAATAAGTGTCGGAAATACATTTATAGGAATTATAAATTATCAAAATTAACTTAACGCTTTTATCCACGAGTTTAGCTACTCTGCTGCATACAATGCCCTACAAGAGATAAAATACAATATGTTTTTTTAGTGGCTATTCGTACGTCACCCGTACGGTGACTTGTATTTTGCTATATAGTACGGGAGTCAAAAGTTTCGTCGATTTTCTCGCGAACTCTGTATTCTTTTCCAACCTAATAACGATATTCTTGTTTAGACCAGCTAGGCGATTCATGTCAGTGATGTTATTTTGATTCAAACTTATTCGACAAGTCTGTACTCAGTAGCGAGAAACTCACTTTCACGACAATGTTTTTCGTGTAGTCTGAGGTCAGTGTCACGGCGGGAAATGTCACGCAATAGAATTTCTGACGACTCCCGTACGAATAACAATCGCGAATAATTCGTACGGGAGTAAAAAATATTGGTAAATATTCGCTGAACCGACTCCCGTACGAATAACAATC